ATTAGATCAAATTCACAAGTTTTTAGACTTCCAAAATTTACTGAGATGCATATTGAGCTTTTATTAAACCTGTCAAATCAAACTTAACACAAACTCTTCTTGATAATGTATAAACAATAACATAAAAATATTTCAATACAGAATAAATTAGTTTATTGGATTATAATGATTGAACTTTTTATCCATTTGGGGCAGAAAATAAATTAGCTTGAACTTCATCCATAATGCTGATACTACACTTATTTTTGAGTTAATTCATTAAATTAAAAGGATGCTATAATCAGCCTGTTAGACTATGCTTGATAGTAAGGGTAAGGAACTGGTGATTAAAGACTAAGATAGTTGCCACTGGAAATAAGGAGCATAATGGACCTCTGGGTAGACATTTTGATGACTTTACATAAATGTACCAGAATTCTACAAGTTGATTAGCAGAAACCAGACACATAGGTTGGCAACAAGAAGGCTGGAGGCTACCAGAAACAAAGTCAACTGGGTGACAGAAACTGGATCCACAGTTCAGGAAAGAGAAACCACAGGCTCCATAACCTAAGGGTCTGAAACCAGCCTAGTGAGTAGCAGCTACTAGATCCATAACCCAGAGAAAAGACACTGCTGGACCGATAGATATGATATAAACTAATTGGTAGGGACTGCAGATCATGGAGATCCTTGGGTAGTGGCAAGATCCTGCCTGAGCAGAGGCTGGACACCACACAGAATGCTGGGCAGCTGGCCAGCTCACAGCAGGTCTTCTGACAGCCACTGTAGAGAGAAGATCCCAGCTGGCAGGTGCTGGGAGAACAAAGATTAGTGCTGTTGGAGTTGTTGGAGTAAGAAGAGCCATAGGAGGAGCCTGGGTAGGTAGCTTAGGAACCCCCTTCCCGAAAGGACTGGGAAAATAAGTTTCCAGAGCAGCACCTGTGAGATATGTTGACAGAAGATATGAGTTCAGATTGGTCACAATGAGAAAATTCTGAGATTTAAGATGATTTTGAGCACTGGGTATTTTATACACTCATCAATTGGTACAGCACAGTGCAGGTACAGTTCTCTCATACCATTGGCACACCTTCTTCTGTATTTGTGTAATTCATTAACCTTCTCTCTCATTGCGTTGACTAGCTTCATACCTATTGTACTTAGGAGCACAATGGGTACAATGATGATTCCTATCTCAGAAATTCCAGAACTATTTGTCCTTAATCCTCAACCTATTACAGCCAGGAAAGCCCCTTCATTTCTCCCTGGCTATGACTCCATGTATGTCTATTCCTGCTTTGCTCCGGAATTCTTTCTGTCACTTTTCTACTGTGTCAAGTGATAAGTGACATAGCTTTATTTTTTATAAGGATACTTCAAATGATTGATTCTACTTGTCACCATTGATTTGCATTCTCTAAATTTATTTTCCATCTATTACATATTATATAATACTTCTCACATCCAATGGAGGGAAAAAAAATAACACATAATGGGAAGTGGCTAGAAATAGAAAAGAACCAGACAAATATTTAAAAGTGAAGGCTGAATTGAGATGAAGCCACAAGAAGAAGTTGACTCGGGCCTTATGAAGAAGGATCAGAGATGATGGTGACAATGTGGGAATCTGGAAAAAGGGAGTGAAGAGACAAGGATTTCAAGTATCTCTTCTGCCTACTTTTAGCCTATGGATCTTTTCATCTAAATGCCATTTAAGGGGCACCTGGGTGGCTCAGTTCATTGAGCATCTGCCTTTGGCTCTGCTCATGATCCCAGGGTCATGGGATCGAGCCCAGCATCAGGCTTTCTGCTTAGCCAGGAGGCTCCTTCTCCCTCTTCCTCTGCCTGCTATTCCCTCTGCTTGTGCTCTCTCTCTCTCTATGCCAAATAAATAAATAATATCTTTTTTTAAATTTTATTTAAAACAAAAAATACCACTAATGTATTTTTACATATTTTCATTCACATTATCCAATTCTAGAAAGAACCTGGGGCCTGCAACTCAGCCTTTCCAGTGTTCAGACTGAATGAGCTTTGTGCATTTTCAAAGTCAGTTCCTTCCCAATAATTTCCACCAAAGTATAAAATAAGGGTGCTGGGAGGCTTGGTCAGTTAAGCATCGACTCTTGATTTCAGCTCAAATCACGATTTCAGGGCCATGAGATTGAGTGACCTGTCAAGTTCCACATTGAGTGTAGAGCCTGTTTAAGATTCTTCCACTGTTTCTTCCTCTGGCCCTCCCCCTACACTCTCCTTCTCTCTCTCTCTCAAAATACATATGTAAAATAGCCCTCTTTTATCACCCTTCTTCTTCATTTTATTTTTCTTCTGAATAATATAATAACAGTACTAATTTCCAATGGGTTCACTATGTCAGATAAATTTGCACTGAGATAAATACTAATAAGTTTTTTTTTTTTTTTTTGGGCTGAAGGAAAATAATCTTAGGTGGAAACAACAAACTCCAAGAAAGAATAAAGAGACTATTTGATAGTTGTATTCTCCAGGAAGCAGGCACTGAGACACAGATAGAAGAACAAAATGCTTGTAAGAGAGTAACACCTGTGAGTAAAAAAAGCCATTCTACCACTTTGTTCAGTCACTGACCAGAGGCTGCCATGAGAAAAAAGTTGACCTTGGCCTGAAAGCTGATACAGAGCCCAAAAAAGCCAACAGAGAAAGCTTATCAGCTGGCCTCACTTGTCACAGCCAGACAGCCATTTCTTTTGTGAAGTGGTGTGATGTGCATTCCGGTGCAGATCTGTACCTGTCATAGTCCACTGGTTGCATCTTCAGGGTCAATTTGTCAAGAGAAAGATTCTCCATGGCTCTGTTAGGGCTCTATTCTGAGGGGAAATAGAAAAGAGCAAAGCCAGTGGCATGAAACACAGTCCCCGTCGCTGTGTTTGGTCTTGGAGCTGCAGCTGGTGCTCTCCATCTCCTTCCTTCAGCATCGTTAGAAATTTGTGTCACCCTTAGTTACCACCTCTGGTGGTCATGGTAGATTTCTTGGTGGTATTAACCAAATCTTATTCCTGAGAAGTATAAATCCTGATAACTGTATCTTTTTCTTGCTAGAGTCACTGCATTTGACAAGTCATGTGCACAGTTGGATGGAAGGTTCCAAGAGACACTCAAGTGGATCAACTGAGCTTCCCACATATTCCCCCTTCCCTCACTGTGTAACAGTAACCCTGCTACTTTCTATAATCAGGATCGTCTCTTCTTGGATAGATGACAAGTCTTTTTTTTTGCCCATTGGTCCCTGAGTACAAGAAGCCCAAAGTGCACAGACAGCAGCCATAGCTTAGTTCAATGAGACCCTTGATGTTTTCCTTAGGAAGTCTGCTTATGGGAACTGGGCCTCTATCCTTGAAAATTCCAGCTGCAGAAATAGGAAGCACGGAGTTCTTGATGGGTCTTTGGAAGTAATAGTAGGGGGATTTTGGAGCCCAGTCTTTTGAGGATATCGCCTCCATGTCGACACTTCAACTTTGCGGTCAGTAGGCCAGTCCATTTCACCAACAGGCAGGGAGCTTCAAGGTGGAGTGTTTTTTGATAAAACCTATGGATCTCACTTACACTCTCTCTACTGTGGAGTGGATTACCTGCATGGATTCTACACTATGAGCAATCCCATGCTGGTAGATCAAACTATTCATTAAATCCTGAAAATGGTGCGGCTGAGGCAAGCATTACAAGCGAACTCATACTCTGAATATGTATCTGTCCATTTGAGAATGGACCCTGGTTTTCCAGGGCAGAAGGAGAACACTTTCAATTTGCAACCAAGCAGCTAGTTGGTCTTCTTGAGGACTAATGTCATACTGGGGGTTTACTGTTAGCCTCTATTGCCAAGATGGAGATTCACAGGTGGCAATGATATCAGCATTGTAAGTAGGAGCTTATGCTGGGGGACACATTCATAGCCTCTGTGGTCACTGGTTCATCTGGTCAGCATTGTAAGGACTGCTGACAAAGGTAGGCTCGCATCAACTAGCAGAGTCATTTTGTCTACTTGACAGTTTCATTCCTCTTCCAAGGTGGATATATTCTGGTGGGCACTAAAAGGAAATACACAGATTTTCACATTTTGTGCCCACGTGCATGTGTCTACCCACATATTTCTACACTAGACTTCTGTGTATCAATATTCTAATCTTCTCTTTTCTAGGTCCCTAACTAGCTGGTCAGGTTAATTGCTACTGTCCAGGAATCTAGAGGTATCAGATGTGATTTTTCCTTTTGTCAGCAAACGTCAAGGTCTCACATCCTTTGGAGGAAACATGCTCTATATTGCTTCTGAGATTGTTATTCCTATAAAGCTTATGTGTGACAAAAAGGATACCAGAAAAAAAGTTTTAAAGAAAGAAATGTCTAAAGCCCAAAATAAATTAGTTCAAATTCACCAATCTATTAGATTTCTAAAGTTGTTCCCAGAGACACTGTAAACATTAACTTGAATACCCCCCAAAAAAAAACAAAAGAAAAAAAAAACTTACCCAATTAAAACTAACAATAAAATTAGCAAAATATTTGGAAACCAGAATGAAAGAGTTTACTACGTTATATGCATTTAGATTTTCATCTCTTTTGTGAATAAAATGTAAGAATGAGAATTCCATTAATTCATTAAAATTAGTTCATGTTTATTAACATAAATTCCATTAGTTGATCTTGTAATTTATTTTATTAATTCAACTAATTCTATAAATTCATCCAATAAAATTAATCATTTAGTTCAGTATATGTTAGAGACAGTTTTTGGCCAACACTTTGTGGTTGGAAAAAAGGTGACAAGAATTTTTCCCAAAGATCACGAAGATGATAAACTCTCTGTTTAAAGGTTAGACATTTTGCTCAAAAGGTCTGGACCCGCAACAACTTGAGGTATAGAAGCCAGATCCACAGGTCGGTCTGTGACATGAAGACTGGCAACTTCTGGAGGTGAAGTAAGTTGGGCGACAGAATCTGGATCCATAGCCCAGTGAAGGGAAGCCACAGACTCCATAACCCAGCTATCTGAAGCCCTGGGATCCACAACCCAGTGAGTAGCGGCTTCTGGATCCATAGCCCAGGGAACGGCAGCTGCTGGACCCAAAACTCAGAGACCGAGAGCAAGTCGTCTGGCAAGGACTGCAGAGCGTGGAGGTCCTCGGGAGGTAGCAGGGTGTCTGGCAAGGTCTGGACGCCACACAAGATGTCTGGCAGCTGGTGGGCTCACAGCAGGTCTCCTGACAGGCACTAGCAGGGGAGGAGCTCAGCTGACAGGTGCTGGGAGAGCGGGAGTTAGTGCGGTAGACCAGGTTGCTGGGGCAGGAGGAGCTTGGGTAGCGCACGTACCCCCCAAAGGAGTTGGAGGAGACGTTTCCAGAGCAGCAGCTGTAGGACATGTTGGCAGGAGATGTGAGTTCAGCTGAGTGACAGTGAGGAGATTCTGAGGTTGAATGTCACCTCCTGGACCGGGGCACTTTTATACTCTCAGCCATGGGTGTGGTATTTTTTACAGTCTCCTTTCCCACACTTGGACTCTCTCATTTCCATATGTGTAATTCAGTGATATTTTCTGTAATTGCAGGTGATTCCTTCCATCTCATATTTATAGGAGAATTCATCATGTTGTTATAGCACCAAGCCAACGAACTATTCCAAAGTCAGAAATGCTATGACTATATGTCATTAATGCCAGCTAATCAGGGCCAGAAAAGCCCCTACTCTTCTTGGCTGAGACTCATTGTGACTTTGCTAGGATCTTGGCTGGAGAATGCTTAGATCTAAAGGTGGGGATTGAAATTAAGTCACTCTTTTTTCTAGATCAGTGGAATAGAGTTGCCCTATTTGTTACCAATGATTTTCTTTCTGTAAATTTATTTCATGCCCTAAAAGTAGTTTTCATATCTTACATTATGTTATATATTGCCTCTCAAATCCAGTGGAAAGGGAAAATAGATAATATAAATTGATTGAGAAACATGATGGATCACAGAGATAAATCAGGACAGATGTTTAAAGGCAAAATGACTAAGCAAGACTAATTTGAAGAAGAGTCTCAGGGGATACAAAGTTATACATGTGCAAAAAAAATCCCAAAGAGTCAAATACTCTTGAGGCGAGGGAAGATAGCTAGTGACACTATGGATCTGTCCATCTGTGTAATTCCAGTAAAAATGGGTTCTGGATCAATATAGTTTATGGCTTTTCATATAGGCATTGCTCCTTTTGTTACCTGTAGTTACAATGTGTCCAGTGATCCTGCTCTCCTAATAAGAACAACTTTTATCATGCAGGACCTTCTTGTCATTTTTATCTTTTGATTCTTTCATATAATTGTTTCCTTAATTATAAAAACACGTTTTCCCTACTTCAGTTCTTCAAGATTATTTTTCTGTTGTAAAATATCCAAATAATGTCTTGTATAGAGCTCCATGTCAGGCAAATTGAGACTAAAACAAATACTGAAGTGTTTTCTCCAGTTAGGAAGACAATTACCTCAGAGGGGAAGTTGTAATTGCAGGAGGTGATAAAAAAAGATTGAAATATAAGTGAATTGTCTAAATACTCTGTGCATAACACTAATAAAGTGGTTTGTGGTTCTTAATAGATAGATAGAAGTAAATAGTAATTAAGAATGATCATTAAAATCTCTTGAAAACTTATTAAAGAATTTAAAAATTATAAAATGATAATAACTTAAAAGGATAAAATTACAGCTTTAACCATTTTATTATCCCTTCCCAAAATGTGAAAATTTACTATTAGAAATGGTAAATGTGCAAGTAGAAATCTAAAAGTAGGATTAATTAAGTTAAATATTATAGACTGACTAATCCTTATTGAAGACTTAGACTACCAGACTGGACTAGAAGTCAAAAGTATTTTCTACTTAACATAGGTTTTCTTAAATATAAGGAAACAGAGAAGGGAAAAAGTAAAAAGATACATCAGACAAAAGAAACAAACAAAAAATGTTACTTCCATTTTACTAACTTCCAAATTTGTTGTATAAGATGTAAAACATCATGTTATCAGAAGTAATACAAGATATTTCATAACAATCACTCTGTCAGCCTTCCAGGATGATATTCATGATTTTGTTATTCATTTAGAGGTTACCCCAATTCCACACTACCCAACAGAGTAGCAGATAGCTACATATATCAAGTTCAATTTATGTAATTTAAAATTAAGTTAAATTAAAATTTTGGTCTTCAGTCATATTAGCCATATTTCATGTGCACAATAGATACATGTGACTGATGGATACCGTATATCAGAAAATGCAGATAAAAATATTTTCAGCAACACAGAATGTTCTATTAGACAACACTGCCTTAGACTTCACAGTGTGCTTTGTTGACTGGCTAATAGAAATAAGTACTTTTACTATTTCTAGTCCAGTGTAAGAATGTCAGAAATCTTGAGGTCAATTATCCTTACCTCAATTCATGTACTACTATGTTAGGATTTTCTGTATTGTAATTTCATGTTTGCTTATGTATATTGACATGTATTTGCCTCCATGTTTTTATGACCAAAATTTGCTTAAATTTACCCAATATATATATATAGTGTGTGTGTGTGTGTGTGTGTGTGTGTGTGTGTGTGTGTGTATACACCTATCTTTTTTCTTGCTCTTCACTTCTTCTTACATCTTTTTTGTATGTTCTGGGATTATTTTGCTTCTGACTACATATAACTTTTATTGTATATTTTAGTGTTGGAAGGCTAGTAACACATTCTTTACAGTTTTGATGGTCTGAAAATGTCTACATTTTCTTTTTCTTTTTCTTTTCTTTTTTTTTTTTTGCGAAAGAGAGAGTGGGGGTTGGGGGTACTTGCAGAGGAAGAGGAACTCAAGCAGTCTCCATGCCCAGAATGGAGCCCGACTCTGGGCTTGATCCCATGACCTTGAGATCATGACCTAAGCCAAAATCAAGAGTCAGATGCTCAACTGAGCCACCCACAGGCTCCTCTCCATTTTTGAAACAAATGCTCATTAGTCCATTACTCTAAAGTTTTCTCTCTTCAGAAATTTGAGGATACTTGTCTTCCTGCTTTTTTTTTTTAATGATTTTATTTATTTATTTGACAGAGATCACAAGTAGGCAGAGAGGCAGGCAGAGAGAGAGGGGGAAGCAGGCTTCTCGCAGAGCAGAGAGCCAAATGCGGGACTCCATCCCAGGACCCTGGGATCATGACCCAAGTTGAAGGCAGAGGCTTAACCCACTGAGCCACCCAGGCATTCCTGTCTTCCTGCTTTCTTTTTTCTGTTTAGAATTCAGCTGTTAATCTTACTGTTTTTTTTTGTTTTTTGTTTTTTGAAGGTAACTTGCATTTTCTTTCCCTCTTTATTTGCTAATTTAAATATGTTCTCCAGAACAATCTCTAATTGTCTCTCCAGCTATGTCTAATTTCTTTTCAATCCATTCAACAATTATACAGTTAACATATTGAATTTTTCAATTTTAGAATTCCTACTTGGTTCTTTTTTTCTTTTTTCTTTTTTCTTTTATTTATTTATTTATCTATTTATTTATTTTTTTGAGAGCGAGCTTGAGTGAGGGTGGGGCAAGGGACACAGGGAGAGGGAGAATCTAAGCAGGCTCCATGCCCAGCAAGAAGTCTGACATGGGTCTTGATCTCATGACCCTGGGATCATGACCTGAGCCCAAATGAAGACTTGGACACTTAACTGATTGTGCCACCCAGGCATCCCTCTATTTGGTTCTTTTAATATGTTTCTCTCTCTCTTAAAAATTTAAATCTATCTTTTTATTTCCTAAAGTGAATTCTATTATCTGATATATATTTTGAATTTAGTCATTTCTTAACTTTTGCAAGTCTGGCAGATTTCCCTAGGGTATCAGATGATCCATACCTACATCATCTATCTATGTATATCATCATATACTCATCTATATCTGTATGAAACTATATTCACAATTACATCTATACTTCTAAGTCCATGCCTGCATTTATAATAATATTGATATTTACCTATGTAAAGACACAATACAAGGTTACCTCAACACTATGCTAATTTCTTTTTGTAATTTGAAGTTTTTATTTAAATTCCAGTGGTTAACATTCCATTAGTTTCTGGTGTGCATTACAGTGATTCAACACTTCCACCTAACATCAGGTGTTCATCACAAGTGCTCTCCTTAATCCCCATCACCTGCTTAACTCACCTCCCTGCCCACCTCCCCTCCAGCAACCCGCAGTTTGGGTTCTCTGTAGTTAAGAGTCTGTTTTATGGTTTATCTCTGTCTCTCTTCCCTCTCCTTCCCTGTATTCATCTGGGTAGTTTCTTAAATTCTACATATGAGTGAAATCATATGGTGTTTGTTTTACTCTTACTAACTTATTTTGCTTAGCATTATATCTATATCTATATCTATATCTATATCTATATCTATATCTAGATAGATATATGCCACAACTTCTTTATCCATACATCAATTGATGGACATTTGGTCTCTTTACATAAGTTGGCTGTTGTTGATAATGCTGCTCTAAACATAGATTGCATGTATCTCTTCAAACCTGTATTTTTGAATCTTTTGGGGTAAATACCTAGTAGTTCAATTGCTGGATCATGGGGTAGCTCTATTTTTAATTTTTTGAGAACCGTCCATACTGTTTTCCAGAATGGCTACTCCAGGTTTTATGCCATGTTATTCTAATCAGGTACTGAAATGATTTCAGTTCATAGGAAAGGGTAAATATTTAAGGTTCAGCTGAGTCCTAAGGTATTGTTTGGAGTGTCAATTTTAGTCAAAATCATTAGAAATTTCTAACTTTTGATTTTGGTTACCTGAGCTCATGAGTCTCACCAGCCTCTCTTTTGGATTTGACAATATCCCTAATCAAAAAGTAGTCCCAAATTCTAGGACCTTGTTGTTATATTGTTAAAATCTCTCTGACATTTTGGCCCTGGTAATTTCTGGACATTTTCACATGTATTTTCTTTGTCTAAATTTTCTAGACAAAAAATATTAGTTTCAACTAATTTTTTCATTTGTAAGTATATCAATGTTTATCTCATCCCCCCTTAGGAATAAGCTTAAAATTCATAACCAATCCTTGGATGAAAGATTTATAATATATGAAAGCATGGCTAGAATAGGTAAGAAATAGGAGTAAGAGTGTCCAATCACAAAAGTATTTTATTTTATTTTTAATATTTATTTATTTGAGACAGAGTGAGAGAGTTTGGGGAAAGGGGTAGAGGGAGAGACAGTCTTAAGCAGACTCCAAGCTGAATGTGGAGCTTAACCTGGAGCTTGATCTCACTATGCTGAGATCACGATGTGAGTTGAAACCGGGAGTTGGAGGCTTAACCGAATGTGCCATGCAGGCACCCACAAAACAATTTTAGTAATTTGAATGGAAAGTGGCGGAAACAAGAATTATTGCAATTTAAAATATAATACCCTTAAAAATACTAAATAAAATCTAAAACCTTTAAAAGATGAAGGGACAATTACTCATCAATGATTTTTAACCATGTTTATCATTGTCACACCGTATGAAATCTCCTTCAGTTGTAAGTTAACCAAGTTTCCCGTCATTTCTTGAATATAAAAATGATTTTCAGTCTTTTCCACTCTGCTTATTTTATTTTATCTTCCCAGATTTCCCTTTTTCCCCTTCTAATATGCCTATGTCTTTGCAATTCTAAATAAACTTCACCTCCTAAGATGTCACAAGGCAGATATTCCTTATAAGATCCTTACTCCTTCTGTGTCCCCTTTTCCTACATTCAATATCACAAATTTATCATGGGTATGTTTGTCTAAGGGCTGTTGTACAGCCTAAAGAAATAAGGCTTAGGAACATTTATTAAACATATGTTAACTCTTTTTGTTCTCAGTTTTAGGTTCCTTATCAAAATCTATCTATCTTTGTACTTTGTTATTCCTGAAAATACTTTGCCTGAGAAAACAGAGAATATTATTATCATGAAAAAGAGAAATAGAATTTCCCCATTTTTTTGGTTGATATACACATTAAATCATCACTTCTGATGCTGTCAAATACTAATTATCTTTTAGTTTGAAACATGAGTAAAAACCAGGGTGGAAATCATCCTGATGATTTTAGATTCTTCACTCAAATTTTATGGTATTGCTCTTTACACATATGTAGATAAGATCATATTGAATACTTATCAGTGGGATACAGGTATTTATCAATTTTTTTAAAGATTTTATTTATTTATTTGACAGAAAGAGATCACAAGTAGGCAGAGAAGCAGGCAGAGATAGAGGGAGAAGCAGGCTCCCTGCTGAGCAGAGAGCCCAATGTAAGGCTTGATCCCAGGACCCTGGGATCATGACCTGAGCCGAAGGCAGAGGCTTAACCCACTGAGCCACCCAGGTGCCCCAAGTATTTATCAGTTTTGCTAAGAAATGTGGGTGACTTCAAGCAAAGTTACTTAAAATTCATAATCATTTTCATTTGTTTTCTATTTATTTTTTCTTTCATGTATAAACCTAACCATATAAATGTAAATATTATTTTTATTCTCTGCATTTCTTATATAGCTATCAAATAGTCTTCTACTTTATGCCTGTTGGCATTCCCATGTCTTGTGAGAAAACCAATCTAATTCCCGAATCTGAGAGTTCAATTCATAATAGCCTATGTACTTAAACAATAGTCTTCTACTACTTGTAGTTTGAGTAGGAAAAATATCTGGGGCTTCTCAAAATTCAAATCCCCAATTCCTTAGGATTTCAAAATATATTTCCAGGTGTGTATTGATCCTTTCACAATATCTCCATTGTCTACCAAAATCAAAAGTCTACTTAATAAAATTTAACAACAATGAACATAGCTGGTTATCAGAACCAATAAATTTATTTGATTATAATGATTTGGATTTTCATACAATTTTGAAAGAAAATCCAACATGAATTTTATCTCCAATGCAGACTTTAGGTTTTATTTTCAGGTATTACATTAATTTTAGAATTTTTCAAATAAAGTCTTTCAGCCAGTATTTGGGGCCAGAGACGAGGTGAGGGTTTGATAATCTAAGAATAAGAAGATAATTCTTCCTGTAGGTGAAGATAATAAAAATTTTGAGTAGAGGCACTGGTGAGAATGAACAACAAGATTAGAAATTTAATAAGGTGATCAAAAGAAGCCAGTTCCACATGTTGGTCTGTAACAAGAAGACTGACAGCTCCTAGAAGCCAAGTAGGTTAGGTGGCAGAATCTGGATCCATAGCCCAGAGAAGGGAAGCCACAGACTCCATAATTCATGGGTCTGAAGCCTTGGGATTCACAGCCCAGTGAATAGGAGCTTCTGGATCCATAGCCCAGGGAATGACAGCTGCTGGACCCAAAACTCAGAGACCCAGAGCAAGTCATCTGGCAAGGACTGCAGAGTGTGGAGATCCTTGTGTGGTAGCAGGATGTCTGGCAAGGTCTGGACGCCACACAAGATGTCTGGCAGCTAGTGGGCTTATAGCAGGTGTCCTGACAGCCACTGGAGGGGGAAGAGTCCAGCTGAGAGGTGCTGGGAGAGCAGAGGTTAGTGCTGCAGAACAAGTTGCTAGGATAGGAAGAGCCAGAGGAGGACCTTGGGGAGTGCAAGTATCCCCCAAAGGAGCAGGAAGAGTAGTTTTCAGAGCAGCAGCTGTAGGACATGTTGGCAGGAGATGTGAGTTCAGCTGAGTGACAGTGAGAAGGTTGTGTTTGAATATCGTATTCCTCAAGTGAGGCATTTATATACTCTCTGCAATGGGTGTGGCACTTTACAATGTCAACTTTTCAAAATTTGGAGTCCCTTATTTGCATACATGTAACTCAGTAATCCTTTTTTTAAAGTTGGAGTCAACTACCTCTCTTCATCTTAAATTTATGGGTTCACTCATTTTGTTTTTATAGCCCCATGTCAACGAAGTACTTCTATGTTACAAATGCTATGACGGTGTATAATTAATGCTTACGCAATCATGGTCAGGGAATCCCCTCTGATTTTTCTGGTGATGAAAACATGTGCATGTACATGTGCTCACCTTTGGCTGAAGAATGCTTTCTTCCCAGGGTGGGGATTACAATGCAGTCATCCCCCTTTTGTGTCAGTGTCTGAGAAGCAGAAATCTGGTCTTGATGAGGAATCTTCTAAATATTGTCTCTACATCAAACCATTGATTGACACTGTAATATAATTTTGTATCTACTACTTACTATTAACATTGCTTACTATGTCCAGTCTAGAGGGCTCTTATAAAAGTAACCCAAAGAGATTGACCTAGATGATTAGAAGTAGGCATAATCTTGAACGAATATGTTGTAGAAATTTAATGAAATCAAATCTAAAGCAAGTAGAGATGAATATGAATGCATGTGAAGAAAACCAAAATGGGAAATGATGTTGAGATGCGGTAAGGAAACAAAGGACAGTGGTAGAGAGAGGGAAAAGACTGTCCAGATTTTCTTCTACACCATTGGATGACTTGTGGATATTCTACTTCTTAGTTCAATCATATCAAATTTTTTCAAAATGAACTTAATTCATGGATTTTATGCAATATATTTATATGCTCAAAACATCCTGGGGTCTACCCTCCCACAAGACCTCAAAATTTTGAATGTTCTCTGAATATTCCCAAGTTCATGGCAGATCCTTTATTTTTCTCCCTAATTTTGGTACATGCTTCTGTCCCAGCTTTCTTACTAGAGAGGATCCAAGTTATGTGAATCTTGAAGTTTATAATTTGGGGGCACTTCTTTAAGAAAATGAATACAACATTGTGAACATAATAGTAGATATAAATATGGATGCTAATTTAGAATAAAATAAAATTAACAAATACAAACTGAGATGACAAAAAGCACAAATATCACAAAATCAAGACAATAAAATTGTATCATCATAATTATCACCACCATCTATAACATTTCCTCTGTATTTATTGGCTGCATAGTCTTTGATCACTTTTACATATGACAATAATTTTGTCAACATATTTTCTGTAGAAACAATAGAGTATATTTCAATTTTTCTTCCAGAATTATGAATCAAAAAATGTGATACATTAATAAAAGAAAGAACAAGAAACCATATGATACTCTCAATAGATGCTGAAAAAGCATTTGACAAAGTACATCACCCTTTCCAGATCAAAACTCTTCAAAGTGTAGGGATAGAGGGTACATACCTCAATATCATCAAAGCCATCTATGGAAAAACCCACAGCGAATATCATTCTCAATGGAGAAAAACTGAGAGCTTTTCCGCTAAGGTTAGGAACTGGCAGGGATGCCCATTATCACCACTGCTACTCAACATAGTACTAGAATTCCTAGCCTCAGCAATCAGACAACAAAAAGATATCAAAGGCATCCAAATCGGCAAAGAAGTAAAACTATCACTCTTTGCAGATGATATGATACTATATGTGGAAAACCCAAAAGACTTCACTCCAAATCTGCTAGAACTTGTATAGGAATTCAGTAAAGTGTCAGGATATAAAATCAAAAAATAAATTATTTTTGATGACACAGAAAAGTTCCTTTCAACATTGCTATTTATTAGTAATGCCACGTCTATAACATCCTGTGTCATTCTTCTCAGTTGGTGCTTCAATCCTGGGATTATGCTTATCTCAGCCTGTTGTCCCTGCTTTATTTTCCCATCCCAGTCTGCTAGCCCTAGAGGTTTGGTCTTGTGTGAGAATCAGCTACAAATGGCTGTGGACCCTCAATTTTAGTAATCTATTTGGTAGCAGAGTAATGTTTTGGTTCTAGTCCTTCTTCTTAAAGTCAAAACTCCCTGAAGTTCTGAGGTTCATCAGGTTGATTCTAGGGTCTAGAAGTAGTACAGGCAACTTTCTGGATCTACCCACAGCCCAGAACTACTTCAAGGGCAAATGATTGACTCCCAGACTACAGCAGCACAAATGGAGCAGTGGGTCTTTCCACACATCTCTGGAAGATTGCAGTGGAGCCTTGGAAAATGTTAGACAAAAGAATCCTGAAGAGGATCCTGCCACTGAATCTTCATTAGGTTAAGTCTGTCTCTGTCTTTACCTAAGCTGCTCTATCTAAGAAACTTGAACATGTGCTAGTGACCTTCTGTCTGAGATATCAGGGACCCACATAGAGTGCCCAGGGCTCTCTTCAGTATACCTTCCATAGAAATGTCTCTGTCCTGAGTTCTAACCTGATTTTCAATAATTGGATTATTGTGGTTTATTATTGCTTTTATTATTTGCCTCTGGTCCTCTTTAACTCCAAGTTTTTTGTTTGTTTGTTTGCTTGTTTGTTGTTGTTGTTTTTTAATGAAAATGTCTGATAGATTTATCACATTCTTTGAGCATATGGTTGTTTCCTGTCAATTTGGTGTAATATACACCAAATTTCAACTATGCGGCATCAGACACTCAGAAAGTATAGTGCTGTGGCATAAGGCATGGAGTTGCAACTCTCTTTGATAAAACTACAATATAATTTTACTGTATATGCTTAAATTAACAACTTTTCCTCAATGCAAGAGTAAGTTTAATTGCAATTTTACAAAAGGAAGCACTATATAAGACCTCAGTAAGTCCAAGGAATAATGAAGTAGTTCATTCTCATCAAACAGCTACTTTAAAAAAGTTTTTCATATGATCTTCTAAATTTCTAGATTTTTTTTTCTTATGGGTTTCTAGCCACTGAGATAAAAGGCATAGCCCACTCAATGCTGGGGACACCATGCCTTTCTCAAATTACAGTGTTTCCAAGAAATTATTGGAAATAGCTGTCTTATCACAAGTGAGAGTGACTTTTTGCTTGCTGGAGATGGGATTACTGTTAATCAAAATAATAAGGTCAGCAAAATTTGTCTATAGTGACACAACATTTTGGTTGCCCTCCCAGGCACACAGTGATGACCTTCTCTTCCCTGTCCATCTGATCCTCCTCACATCAATGTGGTGGTGTTTATGTAGCTGAAATAACAGATCACAAACTCCCAGGTCCTCTCACTGAATCCAGCCCACAGATGTATGGTCATCCCACAAGCATGAACCACCCCCATAGCTGTTTTTTTTTTATTATTATTAAACTCTAAATTAGTCGCCAATATTTAAAAATCAAAAGAATTCATACAAAATATGGGTTCCTGACATCTCATAACATTTTGAAAATCTGGTTCTGCTGGGCTCCCTTGCTTACAGCTGCCTGGAACTCCATTCATGGAGGATGTACTCCCTGAAATTCCCAGGTTCAGTTAATCCTCTTTATTTTGTAGTTGTGGGGCCCAATTTCAGTTGTCATTAGTCATCAAGCCTGTGCTATTATTTTGTTGTGTTAGTTAATGCCACTGTCATAAATTGAGAGGCATTGGGTTTGAAGACATTTTGTGAAAACAAACTTCCTGTGCACTTGAAGGATATTCTTCCTTGTTTAATAGGAAAATATAATGCATCTATGTTGGTGGAATTGGATTATAAAAACACCAGTCATGAGACAAATCACAGGTCAACTGGACCACCTCACTTATGTTTATGATCCTCTGACCAAAAATATTTTACATGAGAGTAGAACTTGACATAGTTTTTATATACTGGGCAATGACTTAAATCAGTGGTGTCTTACCTCTGAATATGCAACAGAAGTAACTAATGGGTCATTTTAGAACAGACAAACCAACCAGAAAATAAATAAACAATTTTAAAAAACCAAATGATTGAATTCCTCCTCAGGTTGCTCCACATGTGATTCTGATGTACTACCATGGTTAGATCAAAGGATTAACAAAATTAAATGAAACTAAACTAAAGGATTAACATCTAGCTAGGAGTCCTCAGGAGAGGTCATAGCCATGTGACATCACACTACTACATGCCTGACAACTGTAACCACCTTTGTACAGGGATTGTCTTGCCAAGAATATGAAGTACAGCATTACAAAGAGAGAAAAGGAAATCCATTTTCTGTTTATAACGTCATAATTCTATTGTAATGGGCTGTTCCTGCAAATAATACGCTTCACCCTCTCTCCTGTTTGGAAATGTTGAAGATGGATTTAGTGGCATTAATATCCATCCAGCAAGATGCCGCATCCTAGGGCTTGAACAAAGGCTGCGTGTCGCTACCCAGTGACATTGTGCTGATGGCCTCATGATGAGTGGTAAGGACTCTCTATAAATACAGGAAAGAAGAATAGCATTTGTGACAGACTGTAATAGTTAAAATTGGAAGGCAGAATGAAAACAGGCTTTGAGTTAGAAATCAGATGTTAAATGTGTGAGCAGAACTAAAATGGTCTGTGGTACATAGTAGGCATTCTATAGACATACGTCGATTGAATGAAAAAAGACATTGTCTTAATGTTTTCAATGTCTTATTTGAAGTAAGTCACCTAGGAAGATGACATAAATATTAACCATTTTTTGGCAGCTTAGTGAAGGTTAACTATGTGTATCTAATAGACACGGAAGCTTTTCCACTCAGATGTCATGGATCAGCTAAGACTCATGGGCTTTAATGTTTCCAGGTGACATAAAATCTTGACCTAGTGGAAAGTAGTGAGATGAGGAGAAAAGGCACAGGCTAATAGATGTGTGTGTGTGTGTGTGTGTGTGTGTGTGTGTGTGTGCATGTATGTGAGTGTGTGTGTGAACCTTCCTCTCCTGTACTTTGAGGTCTGGCCTATTCCTGATTCTGGGGTGTCAGCATCTCCTGCCTCATTTTTTTCT